TCCAAGCCATTTTCCCCAAGCTACGGTTGTTTCCTTTGCTGCTCTCGTAAACATCTTTTTCAGATTTGGCATTCTAAAAATAATGTGAAGCTTGGAAGTCTCATTGCTAATGTCGTGAAGGCCAAGAATTGGATTCTGCATAAAGTGCAAATTTCCGACAATCTCACGTCAAAAGCGTCTTTCATCAACATTCAAGAATTTTATCTCATTAAAGCTTTCAAGGTATCAATCATTCCCCATAAAGTTCCATGTATTAAAGAAGTCATTTGGAAACCCCTTCCTTTTGGTTGGCATAAATGCAATTGTGACGGCGCTTTCATCCTGGATTGAATTTGGCCGGTGGAGGTGGTCTATTTAGAAATCACAATGGAAACTTTGTTTTGGCTTTTGTGGAAAGACTCTATTGTAATTCATCGATTCTTGCCGAGTTTGGGGATGTTATTAAAGCCTTGGAGATTGCGGATTCTAGGGGTTGGTCTAAGCTTTGGATCGAAACCGACTCCTCTTTGGTGTCCAAAACTTTCACCAACCATTATTTGGTTCCTTGGAAATTCAAAAGGCATTCGAGCTACTATTTAGATCCTAATAGATTCACTAACCTAGTTATTTCTCACATATATAAAGAAGGTAATACTTGTGCTGACTTTTTGCAAATTTTGCGCTCGGCATCAATCCTACCACACTTTTTAATTCCATTTTTTTAGAAATTATTAATGATTTTGTAAAAAATAGGTAAGACTTATTTTTTTTTCGATCTTCCTAATTGTTGGGACAAATTTGTTCCCCATTTTATACCCATCTTTTCTTTCAATATATTTTAGCCTTTATTCAAAGAAAAAAAAAAAGATAGAATAGCAATTTATAAAGTTGTCTTCAATATGTTTTTTCAAATTGTGTACAAAAACTTAAACTTACAAGGTATTATTTGTGTTTTCTAATTATTATCTTCATTGTCTTAATTTTAAAATTAAAATATTAATTAAAATGTTTTTATGTTATTTTGTATTTTAAAATTAATTCAACTATTAACTTTATCAAATATTTCAAATCAAACCTAATAACTCATTAGTTATAAGTTATTTACTACTAACTTATATCTTATCCACTATTTTTTTTATTGAATATTCAGTACTATTTCTTTTATCGGAATATGACCTATCTAAAAATAATAAAAATAATTATGGATAAAATATTTACAATAAGAAAAAATTACCCATTTTAAAATGTTCACCATAATATAAATATTATTATTATTATTATTATTATTATTATTATTATTATTATTATTATTATTATTATTATTATTATTATTATTATTATTATTATTAGCGTCCAAACGGACACTCCGTGCGCATTTGTCCGCTTTTTTTTTAATTGACACACATATTAAAATATAAATAGATATTTTTATAATTTAATTTTGTTTTTAATATAAATTATTTCTGATATAAATTTTATGATATATTTCTTTCATGTGTATTTATCTTTTTTTAAAAGCGTACACGCAACAAATTATATAATATCTTTTTTTTTTAATATTTATTTTAAATTAAATAAATTGACAACTTAAATCTCAAATTAGTAAGTATAACCTCTCTAAAAAAAATAGTAATTAAGAATTATTGAAAACCATGTCGAGTAAGTAATTTACATAACACAAAATAAATAAAATTTTAAGTGGCTGAATAAAGCTACAATTTTTTATTTTATAAATAACCAAAAATTGTCTTAATTTACAATTGTTGTGTAGAAAGTTATATGAAAAAAAAATTTCATTGATTAAAAAACAAACAACTATGAGATTGATTGAGAACCTAATTAAACATAAATTTACTTAATTGATTTAAATTAGGAAAAATGTGAGATATATAAAAATTAAGAAAAATAATTCAAAAATCTTTTGGAATTTGGATTTTTGTTTCAATTTAATTAAAAGGCGTGAGAGAATATTTTAAAAAGAAGATAATCAAAATAATAAGTGGTTCAAGTTTTAAAAGAATTTATTACAAAAATAACATCTCCATTTTCATATTTTTCTCAATGTGTTTGTTTATAATTGAAGAAATAATATTAAGAAGCATAAATATTTTTCTAAAGATTCTTTTATTGATTTTAATTAATAAAATGAAAAAGAAAATTGTAAGCAAAATGATTATAGCTGGTTATCATTTTGTTATAACTGCCAGAAAAATTATCACATACAATTATATGTTGTGTAATGAGGCACAATATATTCTCATAATCACAATTTTTAAAATAGTAAAATCATTTTCAAAATAATTTTGATGACTACAATATCAACGAAAGAGATGGAAAGAGAGAAGAGATAAGAGTGAGTGAAATTTTTGTCATCTTAAAATTTTTGTTCTCTTCTCTCTTATATCTCAATTTAGTAGTCATAATAAATTAAAAATAATAATGAATTTATTATCAATAAATATTATTTATGTTTTAGAAAATAAAAAATAGTAATAGTTAATTATAAATAATCTATAAATATTATGTATAACTATATATAAAGCGATACATTATCTTAGACTGACCTATATTTATTTCTTAGATGCCCTTTACTGTTATTTTAAAACTGCAAAATACACTCATTAAATAATAATGCATTGTCATTAAATTAATAATGTTTTCTCATTAATAATACTTTCTTTTAATATAAATCTATTTTAATAAAAAAAATAAAGATGACACAATAAAATGAGAATCATATCAATGTCTTTTAGAAAAATAAAGAGAAATAATTTGTTTTTCTATTATGTTGAATGACATAAAATATATTAAAAACAAAAATAACAAATGAATAATATAATTAGGATTACAAACAAATAGTTAAAAACTAAAAGAAGAAAAAAATTTGATTTTGAATAAAGATGCTAAAATTATCGTTATAAAATAATATAAATTATACTTTATACTCATAATCATTATCATAGTCTATATACATCAAAAGTGTATTAGCACACGTGTTAACTATATAATGAATACAAAGACGCAAGCAATAATATAAAATCATTTTCAATAAAATGGTTGTATATATGATAAAGAAAAAATAATAAAACATAATAAGTAAGAAATTACATTAAAAAAAAATAAAACTAAAATAAGAATATGCTTTGATTATAAAGTCAAACTTTAAGATAGATAATGGTGTGAAAGAATACATATTAATCATATGTAGGGTGAAGAATACATATTGATTATATGTAGAGTGGATGAGTATAGCAAAGAGAAATTGCAAAAATTAAAACATAATTGATGACTGACAGTCTCATAATTAAAAATAATTGTACGAAGAAACGGATAATGAATAACAAATTAACCACACATAAAATACATACATATACATTTGAATTTTTTATTTGGATGTGTCATACATAGTTGTTACTTTCCACTTAGCAAATCTGTTATTTATACTACATGATTTATCCATAAAGATAATGATAATCACACACATAAACACAACTCAAAGATTTAATAGTGAAAGAGAGAGACAACTTACAATCTAAAGATTCAAAGTTGATGTGAAAGAGAAATTTGTAGTAATTATCAAAGAGAGAGATGATTTGCAAGTGAATGAGAGAATTTGGCAAGAAGTTAATGATAAATAAGGAAGAATAATAGAAAATGTAGAAGTTTTAAATTGGGAAATGAGCGGTTATTATTTAATTAGTGTATTTGATAGTTTTAAGATAACTGTTAAAGGACATAATAAGTAGAAAAATAGGCTACACCAAACTATTGTTTTCCTTTATATATTGTTATAGAATTTAATTAGTGTGTTTGGTAGTTTTAAAATAACGGTTAAAGGGCATAATAATTAGTGTATTTGGTAGTTTTAAAATAAAGGTTAAAGGGCGTAATAGGTAAAAAAATAAGCTATTGTTTTCCCTTTATATATTATTATAGATTATTATTATTATTATTATTATTATTATTATTATTATTAAAATGTTCACATTTTCAACATGTCTAACAATAATAAAATGTTCACGTTTTCAACCTGTCTAACAATAATAAAATGTTCACAAATTTATGTATATACAGAATTAAAAATGTTCACAAATTTATGTATATACAGAATTAAAAATGTTCACAAATTTATGTATATACAGAATTAAAAATGTTCACATTTCTCCTAGATTTTATTATTTTATTACAAAGGTCTATTTATTATTTAAGGCATGATAAAATTTCACAGTATAACAATTTATGGTGGACTATGTTAAAAACAAAATTTATGGTGGACTATGTTAAAAACAAAATATAAAAACTCAGAAAAATGTTGACATACAGATTTATGAGACGCAGAAGTTGAAAGACTATGTCGACCGATACTGCAATTCGCAAATAAAGCAACGAAAAAATAAATTTTGGGGTGAGAGAGGCTCGAACTCTCGACCTCAGGATTACTCAGATAGCTATGAGACCTACGCGCTAGCCAACTGCGCCACCACCCCATGTTGTTAATAAATTTTCTATTTCATTTAAATACTTGTAAATTATGAGTAATGTGTTTTATCCCACCCTCTAACTATTTTAACATTTAATTCAGCCGTATATATTTTCTTAGTTGCTCTGTCCAAATATAAGGCCTTCAAGGGTTAAACTAACATATGATAAGATTCATATATTGTGACCATTATCTTCCAATTAATTGAAACAAGATAAAAATAACTTATAATCAAACTAAGTAATTACATCATAAACATTTCACTAATCTTTGGAGGATTTTTTTTTGTAACACAAGTTTCCTTCAAAAGTCCTCTCTTCCAAATTCCCAAATAACTTATCATAATAAGTAACTAATCTTTTCAATCAATATGTAAGTTACATCTAGTATGTAAAATTACAACAGGAGAAAAACTTTGTTTTTGCATCAACAATTTGCTATATAAAGTTATATTGAACCATTTTTACAAATCTTTTTCTTTTGTGCCGAGACTCTGGTAGTACTAGTACAAAAAGACTATGCAGCATACGGTTCTCTTCGATCATTCACGATGTTGATGTTGATTAGCTTGCTGAGACTTCCTCTCTCGCTTAAAAGCTTTAAAGAGATCAATGCCAAGACCAATATTCAGAAAATTCATCCCTGCCATGCCAAACAGAGCCAGTGGTAACTCCACGCCCTTCTCAAATTTGTGAGCATCTTTGATGAGTTTCACTGTGATGAGAATGTGGGACACGCACCTTGCCACAAAGAACGTAGTCCAATTCAGAAACCATTCTAACTTAATAATGACGTTCCTTGAATCCCGAATACCCGCCATTCGCCTCACCTTTCTCACATGCAGAAAGATGGAATGCAGCTGTACAACAAACACACACAGAAGTCCTCCTAAGCATTATGGGGCGGTACTTAACAACATATACATATGCACATTAAGAGAGGAAGAAGGTTTTTAAGCTTACCTCGCAGATAAGAGTGAGAATAAGGTAGTTGATAGTGACATTACGATACAAAGCAAGAGTGAAGCAAATAAGGAGAACCAGATGATGCACAAGGATAGAAGGGATCCAACCATTATATAAGCGGTAATGAAGCATATCCCATTGATCATATGCAAAGTAACCACAGGAAAAAGACAGTGCTTCAAATGCCCATGGCCAAGTACCTTCTACTAACTGTGAATGGTCAAACATTCCTTTCAACCCATTGTTTAACCATTGCGTGAACAAGGTGAAGACCACTGCAAAAAAAAGATAGAACATGGCAAATTCCAAATGAGAAGATGAGAAAAAGAGTGTCTACAGAAGTCACATAATCTAACAGCAAAAAAAAGATAGAACATGGCAAAACTCATTATGAAAATTTATGAAGACAGTGAAGAACACTCTCATCCTTTTACACGACATTCCTCAAATAGCCAAATCTAAACATTTCCTTCTCCTAATCCCAGCAAAACAAAACACGACGAGACCTTGACAAACTTCATAGAGAAAAGAAAATGATCCACAAAGGGCCCCAATTTTCTACTAATCCTAACAATTGCAATATCTTTTGAGAAAAGGTTTTAAATCACTGTCACGTCAACATCTTTTGACATTGCAGAGAATTGCAGTCCAGTGCAACATCAATCACAATTGCATTACAATCGCTTAGACATAAAAAAAAAACCATAATATCACACTATCGCCATCACAGACCTTCTTCTAAAGCCCTGATTGCAATGTGGGTAGTTCTGGTCAGGACTCACCATTAGATTTTTAGTAGTCAACTATGAAGCACATACTCACCGAACACACCGCACCGGTAATAATTTGAAAAAAAAATAAAATTTAAACGAAATAAAAAAATCAGTTTCATACACTAACACAAACACATATTTTCCTAGGTGCCGGTGCTACAGAGGTTGTCAATTACACAGCCTAACAAGCAATTAGGCTGAATTGACCAATTAAGTCATGAACCCTAAAGCTGATAGTTACATTTAGTTATGAAGAAACAAGTTTATCAAAAACTGTGAAATTGAAGTAAAAGAGAAAGAACCTGAAGTGGAGGTAACGATGGAATGAAGAAGAGAAACGGAGGTGTTAACAAAGAGAGGGTCAGTGGGTGGAGATTTGGCGGAGGAGAAGAAACGGATGATAGAGTTAGATGTTTGGTAGAAGAAGGAACCGGCGATGATGTAGAGAAGTTGGGTGCGGTGTGTGAGAAGTATCTGGAAAGGAACGGAGGCAAGGCAGAGTATGAGAGTGGCTAAGAAAAATAGCTCAACATTGTTCCTCTTCTTTCCACCTTCCATTTCCTTCGCCATTTGAGAATATTCTTTCTCCTCCTACAATTAATATATTTACTCACAACTTTTGTACAACAACAATTGCCGTCAAAATTAAGTTATATGAAGTCAATTTTTAGTATTACCATGTACATTAGTTTTTATCTATAACTAAATTTTGTTGTTTTCAGTTTCAACCAATTTCTTTTTTGTTTATGAATTTATATTTTAGTTTTCCTTTGGTTGCAAACTTAAATATAATTTTATTAAAATATATATATATATATATATATATATATATATATATATATATATATATATATATATATATATATATATATATATATATATATATATATATATATATATATATATTCTCTTGAAAAGTAATTAAGTTAGTATTCAATCATAAGTAATTTTTATTACTATTCTCATCCTCTTTCTTCTTTAACTTTTCTTTTTATTGGTATTTTATCAAATATTTGGTGGCATTGAATCCTAACAAACAGGTGCAATGAGCGTGGAAGAAAAATGTCATAAAGAAGGAGATTGAGAAATTCACAAGCGTAAATGATTTTGAGTTATAATGCTTGAAGATGCGAACCCTTTTTGTTTAGCAGGGTTTGTTAGAAACATTGAAAGGATCTGAAAACATGAATGCAACCTTGACAAAGAAGGAGAAAACGACCATGATTGAGAAAGCTCACAGTTTATGACTTTTCGTCAAGTGTGCTAATAATGTCGCAGTAAAAAATAAGATCGAATCCACATGAACTGCCTTTTAACAAGACAAAATTGTGCAATGTGTACAAAATAGTAGATTGGGGGTTTTCGAGTTTGAATGTGAAAATAAAAGAAAGTGTTCAAACAGAATTATGAAAGCGGTTAGGTTGTGCGTAAAATCCCCCATTTCTTTATTGTTGATGTTCGATGCCTTACAGGAATAATCTTATTACTATAATCCCACGATGAATTAACAAAACTTCTATAATTAATCCCTTGCGATATAACTCACTAATCACTACTTCGGGTTTCCTATCCCTAGTCCACCAACGTAAGCAGTATTAGTTAATGCAACAGAGCGTTAATCCACTAGCCATTACTCGAGGTCTCGTATTCCTATTCAACCAGCGTAAGTATAACAATTGTCCTAGGTCCAACACATAGACTAACGATCAGTATTCCCTATGTGTCCAAAATAAGATTAAAAGAGTATCTCACATAAAAAGCATTACGAACAAGAAGCAATTGAATAGAATTATATATCAAAGTATTCATGCAAAGTCAAATCAACTTATGTCCTAACAATATTGAAACAGGTTCATCAAAAACAACCTAACCTAGAGAAGTTTAGCTACTCATAATTTAGACTACAATACCAAAACAATTAAGAAGAATTGCATATGAGATCCCTTGAAGGATTAGCCTCAAATTGGTTTAAATGCTCTCAAAAATCACTTATAGTGCTGTAAAAATCGTACTTGTTGTGCCAAATTTTGTAACCCTTGAAAAAGCGTAGAAAATCCCCTTAAAAAGCCTTCAGAATGGATCAGAACGTGTCAGAAAAGCCCATAAAAAGGGGTAATCACGCTCATGATGACCTGCATCGCGCGTGCGATGCAATTGTATGTTCCCAATCGCATGTGCGATGCCGCGCATGATTATTCCATTAGCTGCACGTTGTTTCTCTCTTTTTCACCTAATTTTTCAGTAAGTCCAATTTCTTCACACTTACCTATTTTTTCCTCATTCTTTGGTTTTTCTTCTTCATTTTTTCTCCTCTTTCACTTCTTTTGATCTGTATCTTCGACTAAATTCATGCAATGACAGACTGTCATCACAATTCCAAACTTGAATCGTTGCTTGTCCTCAAGCAAATCGATTGCAACTGCACATTTCAACAAAAACAAGTCGCATAATAACAATTGAACATCATCATTTTTTTACCTGACTATAGTGGTGAAAATTTTGAGATTAAATTATTGATTAACTTAACTCACAAAAGCAAGAATCACCACTCCTCTTTATTGTTTCCAAAGGAATGAGAAAAGAAAAAATAAAACCCACAAAACAAAGAGATAAGGATGTGGGGGTTGGTTATGCAAATGGAAGGTGTTAGCACTCAAAACCTCTTGAAAAACTGTGTTTAGCTTAAAAATGTGTTGTTTGCAAAAGATTGGGGAGGTGAGAAAAAAAATATTTTTTAAAGATTTTTGTTTGACAAGACTTCCTGAGCCTCGTGCCTACGTACTAATAAAGTGCAATGAAGGATCAAAACCTTGTAGCTCATAGTAACAATAACAAAAGTTTGTTTTAATTGATTTTAAATGAATAGACATTTCGTCATATTCGAGTGAAAACTCAACTTACTACCCACAATTAATGAGGAATGAACATTTACATCATATTAAGATGGAGAATTTTTGCTTGAATTGAAATCAACAAGTTTGTCATTCAACATCAAAGTAGAAAATGTCAACACTTCTCTATATTATTCTGGAAGTATAGGAGTTGCATCACTACAAGAACACAACTAATGACTATCCTTAAGAAAAAAATTTTAAAAGGAAAAGGTGCACGAAGGCACAAAAGATTTGAACAAGTTTTGTGTTTTTTAAGTCTTTTGAAATTGTTTTGATATGCTTAAGATGTCTTAGCATTTATTTAAGAAAAAGTTTTTGAAAATCACTTGAAAAAGTCAAAGTTTATTGAAAAAATGACTCAAATTTGAAAACAAGAAGATTTTGAAAAATTAATAAAAAGAGGAGATGAAGAGGGTATTCTAATGAATAGATCACCATTAGTAGACAATGATATAGTAAAAAATAAAGTATACATATTCTTGTATTGTCGACATTTAATTTATTGGTAAATTAAAAGTATAAATATTTCAAATAATACGATTTTGTCACTCAATGCAAAAAAAAGAAATCTACCAATTTATTCTAATTTAGCGAAATTTTATCAATTTATAAGAGAATCTCAGAAGTTCAGTATACTGGATTTCCAATAGATATTTTTTTCAAATAAAATGAAATAATAAAAATTAGGCCCAATAACAATGTTCAATAAATTTGTCTAAATTTATTAATATTCTTGTTCATTTATTAAATTTAAAATTAGTTTTAAAAAATATAAATTTTTTCACGAAAGTTATTTTAAAATTTAAATATAGTATATATTTTCTTATTAAGTAATTACATGTGTACCATACACATACAATGCAGCTGGATTCACTAATAAAAAACTATTAATTATTCTAATTCGGTAAAATGTTATTAATATCTATAATCTATAACTCTATAATATATAAAGGAAAAATTTGGTTTTGGTGTAGCCTATTTTTATTTCAGTTATATCTTTTTCAGTTTTTATTTTAAATTTCAACTTCTCTTTTATTAACTGTCATATGGTAGTTTGTACAACTATTTCATTCAATTTTTTAAATAAATAATTTAAATTAAAATAAAAAATAAACATACACCAAAAATACCATTTATATTTTTAAACGCCTGCATCTTTAAAAAGTGGACAGACTGACACGGAGAGTGCTCGTCTGGACGCTACTAATATATGAAGGGAATACTTATTTTTGGTATAGCCAATTTTTCTATCATTTTTACCTTTATTTTATTGTATAATTTACTACTTAATAACTTCAATTGAAACTACTCTTATTAACTTCCACATAACTTCCATTGAAACCACTATTATTAACTTTCACATACTTTCCTACTATTAACTTCCACACATTATATCTAAAAAATATATATTTTAATAAAAAAAATCACTTATATTTTCATTGATGCACATTAAAAAGCGGACAAGCGGGCACGCGGAGTGCCGTCTAGACACTAGTATTTATTAATAAGAAAAATAATTATAAGAGAGCAGTACAAATTCAATGTACTACAATTTTATTAAAGGCAAAAAATTCTAAATATAATAAAATAATACTCCCTCCATTCTCTTTTATAAGCAAATTTTGACTTCCTAGGTTCATTCAATAAATGATGTATTTGGACTATATATATATGTTAGATGCATTAATTACTTAATGAATCTAAAATGTTAAAATTTGCTTATAAATAGGAATGGAGGGAGTATAAACTAGATCCAATAACAATGTCAAATAAATTAGCCACCGATTGAAGTTGGCATTGGATAGCGAGAGATTGGGCACATGTGACTCGTTTCCGGGCACTCAACATAAGCATACTTCTTTCTCTTATAAAATTCACCCAGGTGTATCTTGAAAAGTCATCCACAACAACATAAGCATACTTCTTTCCACCAAGACTCTACACCTGCATAGGTCCCATTAAGTCCATGTGAAGAAGTTCCAGAACTTTAGATGTAGTGAGATGTTGGATCTTTTGATGTGACATCCTAGTTTGCTTTCCTATTTGGCATTCACCACAGATATTTCCTTCTTCAATCTTTAGCTTAGGAATACCTCTGACAGCTTCCATAAATATGATCTTCTTCATTCCTTTTAGATGCAAATGCCCAAGTTTCTGGTGTCATAGTCTCACTTCATCATCTTTGACAAGAGCACATTTTGAGTCCTGGGAGGTCCATAGGTAACAATTATCCTTGGATCTGACTCCCTTCATGATCAACTCTCCCTTTTCATTAGTAACCAGACACTCAAGTTTAGTGAAGTTGACACTTAGACCTTGATCACACAGTTGACTGATGCTAATCAGATTGATAGTTAATCCTTTGACTATCATAACATTGTCAAGATCAGGTGTTCCTAAGCAGTTTAACTTTCTAACTCCCTTAATTTCACCTTTGGCCCCATCTCCAAAGGTTACATAGCTGGTTAAGTGAGGTTTGATGTCCACTAGCAGATTTTTGATTCCTGTCATGTGTCTTGAGCACCCACTGTCAAAGTACCAATCTTCCTTAGTAGAAACTTTTAGAGACATATGAGTTATGAAGCAAGTAGTAGCAGTTTTAGGCACTCATTGTTTAGTAGCAGGACCCTTGGGGACCCATTGCTTCTTAGAGGGGAGAGTGTTATAGTTAGGTCT